CTTCTTGATATGGAAATATTTGAAGCTATAGTATATGAAGTTTTATTCAAATATTTCAAGGAAAAAGACAGATATTATGGTAACTACTATTAAGTCGGGTTATTTGGTGGTGAAGCATTAGGTTGCTGAAACAGTCATGCTTTGACCTGTATTGTTATATCGTTATGTCCTCTTTTATCTCAATCTCTCCCTTATTCATTAAAAAATTATGTAGTTATTTTTTGTTTATTTAATTAAGGGGAAATTTTAAAAAATTAGCAGGATATATTATAGTAACTTTTTTTGATTTCCTATTAATTTGCTTTGAAGTCCTGTAATAACTCCCACTATCTTGTTTTGACTGATTAGACTCTGTTCCATTCTGTATGATAGTATAAAGTTTGAGGGTATAGGCAACTACTTTGAAGGCAATAAGATTCACTAAGATGCCCATTCTGGTTTGACTGTTGTCTCCTTTGGAAGTCTGTAATGTTTACAATGCTTAAGTTTTATTGGTCTTGTTCTCTACTGTTTTGTTCAACTTTATAATACCTAATGAGATAGACAATTCTTTTTAAGGAAACAAGAGACATTATGGTAACCATTGTTGATAACCTTGTACTCTGTTCTTACATCGTGTACTATGTCTATCCTTGGTTTTGACTGACAGCTTTGTTTTGCCATATTTGAATTTATTTTCTCCCCCCAAAAAAGTAATAACAACTAAGGAGTAATAAAACCAAAAATGTGTAAATTTTGTTGTAAAAAAGAGAGGGAAAAAAAGTGCTCTAAAGAATACAACAGCAAGTGTGTTTAGGGGTGTTAAATAGCTGACCATATTAATGTTTTTGGTTGGATCATTGAACACAACTGTTTGCAGTCTCACTGTTTGAATGTCCACTTTGTATTCTTTGATACTGTGATTTGAGCAACTATCTCTAAGATGATAATATGTAATCTATTAACTAGTGATTTTTTACTTTTTTTTTTTTTTTTTTGTAGTTCGGTATTACTTGTACCCTTACACCACTGTGTTTTGTTTTGTTTTTTCTCTTTTTCCTTTTAAATAAGAAAATCATTTATCATAAAAAATAAATAAGAATTAGGAGATACATCTGTCTCGGGAAGGATGGAGATTAAGAAATGGAGAAGCAATGGGAGAGGGGAAGTGACTAAAAAAAGAATTAAGGTGTGTTCACTATGTGTACCAACTCCCAAAAAGAACGTACCATTTGTGTGCAGAAACATGTACTAACTAAAAACAAAACTGAAAAATAGATATTTATTAATATTCTTATTAATTTCTACACCTCTGGGCACAAAATAAATCTTTTCTCTCTTCTTTATACACACACACACACACACACAAAAAAAAAATACTCTTGAAATTCTTTAAAGAAAACCTGCATTCCTATCAGCCACTGAGTCAAGGACAGTGTCAAAGTTTGGGGAAAAACAATAAAAAAAAAATGTTTTTTCCAGGTGTGACTCTTTTCATTCACTGACCTAGAAATCCAGAAATGAGCTAGTATAAAGATAGGTTTATGCGTGCACAAAAATATACCTATCCTTAATGATAGAAAATAGTTAAAGACAGAGAAAGAGAAAAATGGAAACTTCAGGAATCTATGTAGATGCAGCTTATTTTTAAAAATCATTTCCCTTCAAGATCTATGCCAAAATATTTACTGAAATCTTCACATTCTGTCTTCCTGAAGCTAAGTGTTGAACAAAAATAGCAACAAAAAATAGACACTTTCTGATTACTTAGACAAAATTAATTTGTATCTTTCTATCAATTATGTCTATTTATTCATTATCCATTATATAGATTCTCTTCCGTTCTTCATGATGGTGTTTTTAAAAATCCATCAGAAGCTGAAATTATAGCTCACAAATGCCTCTAACACAGCTAATGTAGGGAAAAGGCTTTGCCACACAATGTGCTGGGAGAGTGGGTGATTTACCCTCCGGCTAAGCTGCTGACCAGGGCTTCATTCAGTGCCCAGCATCAAGAGAAAGAACTGCGGTGCAAGTCACTAGCCCAGGAAAGCCCAAAACGTAAATAGTGGCTGCCACTGAATGTGTCATTTCAAACCATCTTAGGGTCAAAGGTCTTGAGAGTTGCAAAGGTCTCTATAGCAGTGCATGTATTTTTCTTTTTCTTTTTTTTTTTTTTTGTTTTGTTTTAAAGAGAAAAGAGATAAAAATAACAAAAGGAATTTCAAAACAAGTTAGTAGAGCAATTAAAATAATAATATATAGTGTTTTCTTCATAGTAATTATTCAGAGTACAAGACATAGGCAGGATATCTAAACAATTAATAAGAAACTATTCAAAAGATAACACAAGCTATGTATGTATATTTCTTCACATTATCTCATGAAGTTCTTCCAAATCAATGCATAAACATCAACTTACTTTATCAGTTCATTTTCTCAATCTAAGTCCTATTATATGTATTTCATATATTTTCTACAATTAACTCAGTCACTCACTTAATTATAGATTATAGATTTAAAAGGATTTTTCTCTTAACTATTTCCCCAAAAGATCAAGCAATACACACATTGTGCTTTATTTCTGTGAAATACATGAGCCTGCATTATTTATTGTGTGTCCCAGGCTTGCTGAATAAACTTTATACAATAAATATTCAGATTATTTTATTTTATAAATTATCGCAATTTACATTTGGGCTAACATGCTTTAGGTTCAGTAGAACAAATGATCTGTCTTGTGTAACTTACAAATCTAAGTAAAAAAAATTGGAGTCACTCACTTTAAATTGCTTTTTCCTAATTAACAGAGATGCTTTGCATCTCTGAAGGTTTTAATATCTTTTTTTTTTCTACATGGCTTCACATTGATATCACTTGACCTTTAACTAGTGGTATATTATTTCACTGCTTTGTACTTAAATATACAAATTGTATGGTTTTAGGGCTCTAGGAGGATCAAAACCCTTTAGCTGAGCTCAAGACTCTGAGAGCGATGACAAAGACTTTTCTGGATCAGCCCACTTATATTAGGACCAGGGACAAAGGGTGGAGAAACTGAGGAAAGTGCAGGCAGTGAGCAGGACCTTGGGAGTCACTTCAAGGACATTTCCAAATAATGAATCAAGTCAATTCAGTAGCACTGTCTTATCAGGAAGACATGGCAGGAGTGAGACTGTAGGAATAATTTTTGTAGTTGCAGTCTCTGTCTTGTTAATTGGGTTTGGAGCCAGAATGTCCTCAGCTGTGGCCTTACCTTGCCCTTTGAGGTATCTCTGGCCCCACAGGCCACTACAGGCCTCAGCCAGGACCAGTGATGCAAGAGGTTCACTTACTATGAATCAGCTCCCATCACCAGGCAAGGGGCCGAGGCCTAGGACAGACTCACAGATAGACATAGAAAGACAATTAGTAAAATTTAAATCCTGCTCAGAGCTGCTTTGTAGGGGTCTCCAACAGTATATTTTTTTTACTTGTATTTACTCATATCTCTTAACCAGGTTGAATTCAAAAATCAGAAGATATCAGTAACATTTTGCTATACATCTATAATGATATATGACAAGTGGTCACTCAGGAGCTTTACATATTTTTATTAGTCTGGCATTGGAAGATGATTCTAAAGAGGAATCTGAAGATTATACCTTTTCCTAACTAAGACGTCAGACTTATTATTGTTATATCTTCAGAATATCCAGTCACCCCACATAATACTACCAAATCACAGAACTATATGCTAAACTCTGTGAAATATGGTCTTTAAGTTACACCACAAAATTCACAGTAAACATCAGTTAGCTAAGCATGGTGTCACATGTCTGTAATACTAGCTCTCTGGAGGCTGAAGCAAGAGGGTCACCATGAGCCTGAGGCAAGCCTGTGCTACACAGTGAGTACCAGGCCATTCTGAACTTCACAGTGAGATCTCATCTCAAAGCATAATAAAACCACGTGTAAGTGGTTTTGTTGGGTGAATCAGTTAATTCTAACACTGTAAATAAATTACGTGCTAGTGTAACTAGCATTGCTAGTTTTAAGAAGAATAATTTTATACTGAAGTATCAGTTAAGGGATATTTGTTCCAATGGAATCACATCACTAACATTTTCCTAATAAGCACGGAAATGTAATTTAATGTATGTTCTAGGTACATAGTTTCTTTCTATACAGTAGCTATGTAAGTCCATTTTCTCTTCCTGATAACACAACTCCTGGACTTAATTTGTTTTAACAAAAAGAGATTTAATTTGGCTCACAATCCTGAAGGCCAAATATCCAGGAGTCACTTGGAGCACTCATTATTGCTGGTGGAATTCTGAAGAGATGCAGACCTTCACATGGTGAGAACAGGAGGACACGTGTATAGTGTATCTCCTCCTACATCTCAGTCTTTTTAGAGAGCTGCCTCTTATATCAGTCATGGAGGTCCAGCCCTACTATAATCTATTCCTAATCCCCTTTCAAAAATCCACCTCGAATCCTCTTCCCTGGACCTTTCCTCCCCTTTAATACTTGGTATTAAATTACAGGATTTTGGGTGTGTTTCGTGCATGTGTGTGTGTGCGTGTGTGTGTGTATGTGTCCAGAAGATAATATTTTTATAGGTATAGCAATGAATGTTTTAAATTTGCAAGTTTGATTCTTATGAAAGTCTATACTATTAATTTTTTACATATTATGCTTTTATTTGAAAAGCAAAATCAATTTACAAAATCCATTGTCGCTTCTATTTATGACAAAATTAGTATTTTAAATAAATAATTCATTAATTGAACCTATTTCTTTACACAAATTACTAGACACATTAGAGTTTATAAAATTTAACAGACTGTTCCTCTTACTGCTGTTCATATAATCAAATAACAGGAAATTTTATATTTAATATTGACATTTAAATCACACACACACACACACACACACACACACACACAATAACACTACATCATTGTTCCCAACTGGCCTCACTATGATATATCCATGCAGATTGTCTGTGACTCAGCAGATAATTATTTCTGCCTTACCCTGAGATGCACAGGTTAGGACCTCTTCAGAGCACCTAGGACCTTCCCAGAGTGACTCAGGGCCCCAGTGCTTTCATCGGTGGCTCTGCCTCACCCCACGCAGCCACTGTGGACTCCACAGCAGTAGCACTCGCCTTTCAGTACTGTTGGGAGCACAGCTTCATTTCCCTGGGCAGGGCAAGGTCGTCTCACACCAGTACAATGTCACCGTCCTGTGTGCAAAAGAGAAAAACAGTGACTGCACAGCAGACGAAGTGCCAAGTGCTTTGCAAAGGTCATTTATTGAGTTTCCCCCAATGCTATGAGATAGGCACATTTAATGCCTTTAAAATAAGATTGCAAAGTCAAAAATATTAAGAAATTAATGAAATTAAAACTTCTAGTCAGGGAGTTCACTACTGTGGAAACCTACAGTTATTTGAATTCTTGTAATTACTTTTAACTTTTAATGTAACAGTTAGTGGTTTAGTCTCTTAACCTCATTTTTGTAATATAAGGAAGTAGTTGTGATATGATTCATGTGCTTAAAATACTCTGCCCTGTGTACGTTGAGATTTGGGTAATGTTGAGGTTTGTTTGTAATGTTGATATAAAAGTATGCGAAAACTGATTTCCCACAGTCATTTTATAAATGAGAAAATATTTCTGAAACTGTACACCTGTTTTGGTGGCACAGGTGAAAAATCACTTACATATCCACAAATGTTAATACAAATACAGAATTCAAAAATACTGGAAGAGAAAAATATCAGTGTTTATTGTTGCTAATTGACTTGTTAATGAAAAAATTTGCTCTTGTAATTATTTTTAAAAAATTAGCTAAAGTGAATTATGTTTTATAATAAATCACATTTAGCTACATATAATGTTTTACTTAAATTCTTCAGATAATGTATACAAAATAGTAAATGATTGCTATTAGTACTTTATATAACATTTAATGATTGTTTTTTAATTTTAGTGATATGAAGTGTTATTGTGACAAAGTGCAGCTTTATAGCAGGATAAAACAATACACATATATGGGAAAGTAATGCCTATAGTTATCTGAGCATGGTGCATGACTATGATTCCAGCACTCAAGAGGCTGAGGCAGGAGGATCACAGAGTTTTAGAGGTCACCCTGATCTATTTAGTGAGCTAAAGGCCAACATGAGATACATAGCAAAACCCTATCTTAAGAAAAAAAAGAATGAAGTTGATTAAAGTAATAAATAAGGAATTCAGTTATGTTATTCACACATTAGGGATGGAAAGAGAAACATCACCTACTTCAGTAATCTGTAAAACGTTGTTGGTTAAACATTAAATACATGAAAAATATGTTCAACATCCCTAGCCATTTGAGAAATACAAATTTATAAAAAACATTAAGATTCCAGCTAACCCTAGATACAATGACTGTCATCAAGAAATCAACCAGTGACAAGTTCTGGCAGAGCTGTTAGGGAGAGAACACTCCTCTATTTTTCATGGCAGTGCAGACTGGTCCAACATTGAAATCAGAAATGAGATTCCTCAGAAAACTAAGGTGAGAAACCCTATTTGATCCAGCTGTTTCCTTTTTAGGTATCTTCCCAAAACACTTTGAAACATCATACCACAGTGAGTGATGTATGTATATAACACAATCCATACTCGCTATATCTTGGAATCAGCAGATGAATGCATGATGGAGACCACTAGGAAGCGGCTCTGAGCAAGATTTAAATTTTACTACCTGGCTTTCCATGTTTATCTGTGAGCCTGTCCTAGGCCTCGGCCCCTTGTCTGGTGATGGGAGCTGATTCATAGTAAGTGAACCTCTCTGAATCACTGGCCCTGGCTGCGGCCTGTAGTGGCCTGTGAGGCCAGAGACACCTTAAAGGGCAAGATAAGGCCACAGCTGTGGACAGTTGGCTCCAACCACAATTAACAGTAGAGACTGCAGCTGCAAAGATTACTCCTACAGTCTCACTTCTACCGTGTCTTCATGATAAGACAGCGCTGCTGAACTGACTTGATTCATGACTTGATTCATCCTTGAAGTGACTCCCAAGGTCCTGCTCATTGCCTGTGCTTTCCTCAGTTTCTCTGCCTTTGTCCCCTGTTCTAATGTAAGTGGACTGACCCAGAGAATCATTTGTCTTTACCCTCAAAGCCTCGAGCTTAATTAAAGGGTTTTGACCCTCCCGGAGCCCTAAAAATCATATAATTTGTCTCTTCTTATTTACCCTCCGCCGTACACTCGTTTGGGAGGTCGGGGATCTAGGACAGAATCCAAAAATGCGTAAAAAAAAATGTGATATTTATACACAGCAGAGTACTACTCTACTATAAAGAAAAATAAATTTGAGTCATTTGTAGTAAATGGATGTACCTTGAGACCATTATTAAATGAAATAAATCAGACACTCGAGTGAACATCTCATTTTTCCCTTATATGAAAAAAGTTAAAATATAAATGAATATAAAATGGAATTCAGACCATAAGAAAAGGGAGAAAGGAAAAAAAAAAAAAAAAACTATTGTATTTATTCTAAGTATGCTTTTCCTGTCAGTTTCACTCCAGTATGATTGGAGAGCTCATTTCACATTATTTCCATTTCTTTGGATATGTTAGGGTCTTTATTGTTGCTATGAACATGATTTATTTTAAATTAAAAAGTAAATAAATAAATACCCACAATAGGTAGATTTATAAAGGCAGAGAATAGCTCAATGATGCCTAGATTTAGGAAGGGGAGTATAATAGCTGGTAGATAGATTCTTTGGGGGCAGGCTAATAAAAATGATTAAAACTTGACGGTGGTCATGTTCATATAACTCTGTTGGATCCCACAATTTAGCTTTGAAAACTGCTTAGTATGGAAATGTTAGTTCAATAAGGCTATGTTTACCTAAAAATATTTTCCCCCCAAATCAGTTTGCATGTGGATTGTAACAGCCAAACTTGTGATATGTGGAATAGATATTCTGTTTTGTTTTGTTTTTCTTTCAAGGATTTCTTTTTATTAACTCTGGCCCTCCTTATATAATGTTGGCTTTCTAGAAGCTGAAGAGAAATCAAAGAAGCCCCTAGAAGATCTCTAAACACGCGTTGCCTAGGAGAGGGTGCTCCCTCTGTGAAGCCAGGACAGCGGGACACTGTACTTTCTCTAACCTGACTTAATGCAATACAAATTTCCAGTGATCTCAGGCCCAGCACCTCTTAGCATTCTCTGCCTATAAAAATAGGTTTTGCATAAATTAAAGACATAGGGCCAGAGTCTCCTTCCCTGACCCTCCAGGGGAATTTCTGCTCTTCAAACCTACCTACACAGCATTCCCCAGAGTAGGAGAATAGGAATGGCCTGGAGTAGTTTATTCTCTTGTCTTTGCCTGCTCGCTTTCCAGAACTGTATAATTTGAAAACCTTGTTTTTCCACTTTTCTCCTCCACCACATTTCTGCTAACGCCTGAGTCGTCTTATTTCATTTGTCGTAATTCTTATCCATGACTCCTTTGTCACAGTATCTATTCTAAGGTAGTGCTGATACTCTTAGGTGCTGGGGTTTTTTTGTTTGTTTGTTTGTTTTTTAACAGTTCTTTTCTAGGGGCCAGGGATTTAGCTCTGTAACATAAGTGCCTGCCTGGTGAGTTTGATACCCAGAACCACAAACAAACAAACAAACAAACAAAGCATGTCTTTTCTTTTTGTCTGTTTGTTGAGATGGACATGAGTAACAAGTAAAAGGAAATTCTTGACTGGTTTAGTTTTTTTCAATAAATATAATTACTGATTAATAAGATAGAAATATTAATATTCTTCTTAAAAACTTACGCTTTGGATAAAATACATTTTATTGAATCAGTTAAAATACAGGAAGCTAGGGGTCTGGGGATTTAGCTCAATGGCATAAGCACCTGCCTTGCAAGCAGGCAGTTGTGAGTTCGATCCCTGGTACTGATAAAAAAAAAAAAAAAAAAAAAAAAAATTAAAAGTTAAAAAAAATACAGGAAGCTCTCATGTATCTATAAAGGATGCACCAGCAATTTATGTGTTAATTGATGAATGCTTAAAATGAAAAAACTTGGCAACTCATTGGAAGATAATTATCCACTGCTTCAACAGGAGCTGCCACCCATCATTCTTCAATTACAGTAAGATCTAGTGAAAATCTTATAACTTTGTAAAAGCAGAAAAGAAAAATTGACCTGGATGTGAAAATTCTGTGATGTCATACAAATATATTCTAGCTTTTATTTATCTTTGGTATGAATTTTTTGTCTCTATGTATTTGTTTTTAAAAAGTAGTGCAACCATGTTTCTGTAAATCAATTAATAGCTTGATAATTCAGTCTATCAAACTACACTCTGGTGAAAGTGTCTGTTGTTCTAACTGACAAGACCTATGAGTAGAACTGAAAAGATACCCCTCTTCATGGACTCTATATGAGAGGGGACATTGAGTTGGAGAAGGGAGGGAAAGGGCCTTTTGTTAAAGCACGGGAGAGGGTAGGTACGTGATATTGTTAGCAAGCAGAGTGTAAAACAAAAGCTGAAGTAGAAAAGCCAATCGGAAGGAAAAGTGATTTTAAAGAGGAAGATCAGAATGAGTTTTTGTGGAAAGGGATATTTTTGTAAGAGTTCAGGCAGCATACGAAGATGAAGATGTGTGAGTGAAGATCATTGTGAACAGATAACAGGCCCCTGGAAGAGTCTGCAGGAATCTGGCTGTGAGAACATATTCTGAACTGCAAGGAGAGCAGTGTGGCCACACAGAAGAGCAGGAGTAGGAAATGAGATCATCGAGACGGGAATGTGCACATCACATCGAGCACAGCAGGCACGTTACAGATACTGTAATATCATGCAGAAAGGCGATGATCCATTACGGGATTCTGAACATTGGATTGGCATGATGTGACTTACATTTTAAACCCTCTCTGCGGCTTCCATGCTGGAAATAGACCATGGTCTGAAGCCCCATCTCCATGTGACAAGTTAGGAAATGATGCAAAAACCAGAAAAAGATGATAGTGACCTGATATTGCATTAGAGCAGTAGCAATGAAAAATATGATCCAAAAGTATGGCAATATTTTGAAGGTGGAGAGAATAAGCTGAGATTTGAGATTGACTTTTGAGTATTACAAAACAAAAATATCAGGGGATTCACACTTTGAACTGAAACGTAGGATAGACTTATCACCAACAAGACAAGAAGGCTAGGAAACAAGC